GGCTTCGAGTTTGTTGAACTGAGTAAAGCCCCCAACCGCTTGAATTATACGTCTTTTTAAAAAGAAATTTACTGGAGTAAACAGTTTTCATGAACTGGTTCCAATACCTACCGCTCTTTTATGGAACTTCCCTGCAAATGGAGTACAAATGTCAGCTCTTCACATGGTAAAAGGCTATACAATAAACGCCCCTCCACTTGCGCTACTACACTCGCTGCTCAGCATGCGCTTTTGCCGTAAGCAGCCCACCAAGGCTGCTACATTTGTGGTGCTGCGTGCACGAAGCTTCACCAGAACTTGCGGGTCTTCGTGTCACTATGCCGCATTGCCCCTAACCTCTCTGCATGTAGAGTAACCAGCAGGTAAATTTAAGCGTCAGGGATTAAGTATTAACACTTCGGAAAGACAAAAGCACTGCTAAGTAAATAAGTTCTTATATCCAAAAGAAGTTTTTCTGTTTACAGCGCAAACTGATCTTCCTCAAACAGTAAATATTTCTAAGTAGGAATGTCATGCTGAAAAAACCACGTGGCGAAGCGAAATCAAAGCGGTGTGAAAAACCTCAGTAACGCTTTCATTTCTTAATTTTTTTCACCGCAGTAGTTAGGGCTTCAAATCTTAAGTGCCAAAATTTCGTTATACAATAGCACGACAAATTAAAATTTGCTCAAAAGAACGAAAGCGATTACACTAAAACAAGAGGATAAAGACTAAGAGTTAGAACGCTTATTATTTAAGTTAACATCAAAAAAAAGAAAGTGAAGTCATGAGGAACATCGAGTAAATGAAGACCTTGAAGTTTGTGACAGCAAATTTGCCTATTCTAGTATCCCTTACTGAGAATTATAAAGCCAACATTGACTATCTTTTAAAGAGTGCTACATAAGATCAATTTCCATCAGAAACAAAGCTGTTGCGCATAATTTTTTGTTAAACAAAATAATTACGAAAGGAAATAGTCATTTTCTGATCACATAAAACACTTTGTTATTTAACAGGGAACACCATTACTTCCGAGGAACAATAAACAGATATCATATTCAAACATGAGGCACTGGGGCATCTCAAGCCAATACAAATTCAATAAATATATTACTATAGGAAAGTGGCCGACAACCTGTCTTGGAATTGTACAACTACTTCGTGGGGGCTGTTTACCATTAGTACCTACTCATCAAAAAGAGCATGAAGCAGTGGTCAATACGACGTTCTGGATGAGGCGACAAGGTCGGATCTCCTAGGAATATATGGCACCATCCTCCTAATTCAGGGACCTGATTTACCAACCAAAAGTCACTTTGCATCGTTCTCATTTTTCGACGAGACCTAAATCAGATTTGATTACTCAGCAGTCGATGAAAAAAAAATATTTTAAAAGTAGGGAGAGTGAAGGAGGAATAAAAACAAAAAAGCGTTAAACCTCTAGTTCTATAGGACTTGATTTTCCTGCACATCCTCCTTCCGTAAGTACGCCCTAAGCAACAAAATATTGTTGAAGAAAAAAAAAGCGCTGCATATTTTTATATCATTGCAAAGGTAATAAGAACTTGGAAAGTAAACATAAAGCCTCACAAGACATTTAAAAAATACCATTTCCCATGTGACCGATCCATTCCTTGGTGAATTTCCGTACCAACCTTCAAAACGAACGGAAGAAAGAACTCACAGAAAAAAGAACTTCCGAGAAAGATTCGAAAAACCCCTCTCGACATCCTACTTTTCAGAAGCAAGAAAAAAGAAGTAGAAAAACATTCTCGCATTAAAAAACAGAATTGCAGTTGTAAAACGAAAGGTTTAAGAAAAAATAGCCACTGAATCTTAGTTTACTCAAGAACTTTTTTTACAGAAAATTTTCCGCCACAGCAGTGACCAATCTTTACACATGTGAAAAACCAAAAAAAAAATTCTCATTTTTTCACTTCTAACTAATGATAATTTCAAAACACCCAACAACAACTTTGAACCTGTCTTCATTGTTACAAAAAATGAAAGCGAAAAATTCAGGCAGGGACTCAGATTCTCCTCTTCAAAGGAAACAGTAGCCTAGAAATGGTCAGTTATAACTGTGCCTTCTTTTACTTCGTTACACCCCTTTGCACTCATCATAAAAATAAAAGTGGTTCGGGAATGAAATTCGCTCCATTTTTCTAACTGTTAGTTACCAAAAAAACTTATAGTAAATCCAAAGCATATTCAGCTATTTATTTGATTCCGATACCTTTTCTGTCGTTTTGATGTTGAACCGGGCCCCTTTTAGATATTCTGTCCCATCTTGATCCTTTTTCGCCTAAACAAAACTTTAAAGCAAAAAAACCACAAAATCACGATTCTCAAGGTGGGCGAAGCAAACTAAATAAGTGGCCTTAGAAAGAGTGGGAAAGGATATTGTATTTGTAGAAATGTATTCATAAAACCTGCGCTTAACAAATAATGGACTGAAAAAACGAACAAGAAACCATCCGCGTGAATTAATTTCGAAAGAAACTCGATTACTGTCAAGCCGTTACCGTCATAAGGAACTCGTACATCTGTCCCTTCTCTTTCTTGACGAACAGAACTATTTGGGACATATCTGCCTTGGTTCCTATCATGGTTGTAAATACTGTGATTATTTTTTTGACCTGGACTAAATCCGGGTTTATGCCGTTTTAAAGAAGCCGTATTATACGAGCAGCCTTCGTTAAACTCCCACGACTTTTTTGATTCGTTCTGTCTGGAAATCGGCAGGTATAAGAAAAAATATTTTGCTTATAACGTAAAAACATGTGAAAATAAAGATCCCCTCTAAAATCAGGCCATTTCAGCCATCTGGAAGCTTGTATTTCTCTCAAACGAACTAAAACACACTTTCTGTAAGACTAATGGTCTCTCAACTTAAAATAATAACCTGTAACTCCAAGACGTTTGATTCTTATCCTCACAGAAAGTAGAGAGGTCGCCGCTTTCTGCATTACCTCCAGAATGCATAACTCCTTTTTTCCCAGTAACACTACTTTGGAGTGGCATTATAAGAGGCATTGGCACAACAGGCATAAACGTAGGCAGCACCGGAGTAGAGGGGTACAACCCGGGCCCTGCCCTAAACGAACGATTATCGGAACACGATGAACAAACTCTTAGATTATTTTAAAAGTTACAGCAATTACAAGAATTCACAAGTTTTAGTCGAGTAAGACTGTATGTATTTTTGCAGCAGAGATATCCTTCTCTGCATGCAACCGTAATAAACGTTCGGAAACAAACGTCTAATACCATTTTACTGGAAGTAACAAAGCCCTCACGTTCTTCGAATTGTGCTGAAAGCTAACCAAGACTGATTATAATTTGTTGGACATGTAGAGAGCGTTTCCATCATAAGAGAAACCTTTAGCTGTTGCACGCATACGTCGTTGATCAGTTTTCTACACGAAGAAATATCTGTTAAGTCCGCTACATTTGAAGGCAGCTTTTCTTCTTCGTCCCTTGCTACAATTTCATCATTATGCAAGCTGAAAGAATCTAGAATTCACTATTCAAATGTTCTCATCAAGAAGTAGTGATAAGTGTAGGAAATGTTTCCAAACGCTAAGAATGGGGAACAAGTATCGCTTACTTCCGGCTAAAACCGGCTTTTCTGAAACATCGTACAAAGAGACAGAACATATATTTTTCGAATCTCGCTCCTTAATAACCATCCTACACTCCCTTCCTTTCGTCAAATCCTTAAATGTTTTCCTAGTTAGAAGCAGATACCAAAATA